AGGCTTAGGCCTAAGACGAGTATTTAGGACCCAACATCACCACCTGTACCCTGGAGAAACACTGGGAGACTGGCAAAAAGGTGATAAAAAGAGGTACCTGAATTGACGGCAAGGGTAAAAAAAAAAATATTTATTAATATTTATTAAATAATAATATAAAAACTTTTTTGAATAAAAAATATAAAGAAGTTTAATTAGAATTTGCAAAAATATATAAAATTAAATCATAAAAGATTGAAATATAGTAATCTGATTTAATAAGATTAAATTTTAGTTTTTTGAAGTTGAAAAATATAAATATTAAAAAAATATATAAAATTTTTAAATAATTAATATATAATTTTTATAATTAAATTTAATAAAGATAACATTAATATACAGTATAAAATATTTTATTTATTTCAATATAAAATTTCTATTAAAGATTAAAAAAAATATTAATAATATGTTTTTTTTAAAAAAAAATTAATATATTTATTAAAATATTATATTTTAATATAATAATAATAAAATTAAAACTATTTCTTGACTATCAATATTTTCAAATTTAAATTCAATATAAATATTTGAAATAATGTAAAAAAAAAAAGATTTAAAATAAAATATCTGAAAAACTTATAAGAAATATATAAAACAATATTTAAAAAATTAATATTATTATTAAGACAAAGGATAGTTATACAAGATAATAATAGAAATCAAATACATTTGTATTATTATATATCTATATATATTTTAAAAACATCAAAAATTATATAATAATAAATTCTGTTATAAAATTTTTTTATTAGTGTCAGTTTTAATTTATATATCAATTATATTATTTTATATACTATCTATATTATAAATTTTATCATGATAAAATTCAATCTACTTAAAATCTTAGCAATTAAAGAACAACAATCAGATGTTGGATTCTTTTTGGGAAATGATGCAATATCTAAAAAAAATTACATATTTCATAATAGCACTTATGATACCAAACAAATTTCGTAACATATAACCTGAATCTGAATTTGGGTTGATGATCGACCCGACCCAAGGGTCAAACGAACCGAACTGATCCATTCTAGTTGTAGGATTACATCTTCGAATCATGAAGACGCCAGGTTCTCCAACAAATTAGCGATTCTTGTGTATTCTGGTCCTCCATCTTGTAAGCGGTATGAGTAAAAAATGTATATCCCTTGAAAGTCCAAATAATATTTAAAAAAACTTGCAGAAGAGAAGTTAGAAATAAAGCCATGTGTTGAAGTGCAAGGTGAACATCACTCAAAACAGGAATTAAATAAATCTCTAAACTTTTCAATACCAAAATGTTCACCATATCTTCAATTTTAGAGTTATTTTCGAAAACGATGTCGTTGTACATATTTTCATATACAGTATATTACGTCATAAATTACAAATATAAAGGCAATATTTAAGGTTTCTTTTCTTATTTAAGGTCGTGTCAATACGTGAACTTTGAAAATAAACAACGAACTAACGCGTTTCTAGACCCAACTAAATCATATAGAAAGAGCAACCTTTTCCCTTTCTCTAAATAGAATCGACACCAGTTTAATCGTTATTATGTTAATTTATGAGAGTCCCTCGTAATTTAAGGATTTTCATAGTTTATTGATTTTACTGTTTGGTTGGCTACTATAAAATATCCATCCCTCCCCTTCTCGCTAAAGCTTTAAAACTCCCAAAATAAAATAAAATGTACGATTTTCCGCCTGCAAAAACTTTGTAAATTTAGGGAATAAATATAATTAAATGACATTGTGTTAATAATGTAAACGGCCTGCTTCATTTATAAATATAAATAACTACGTGATTACTTGTTCGAGTTCGTGACGTAGTTACTATAACGTTAAATAATACTTTCGACTTAAGCATGATCATTTCCGTCTAAGTAAACTTCCGAGTCTTCAGTGGCACCTCTTTGCTTTAAAAGACGTATATTCATTAAATTTAAACCTTTCACGTTTTGAATACATGCCTTAGAAATCCATAACATATTTTGACGTGAAGTCCAATGTAAAGCGACTTGTGATGTTTGATCATCTATTCTTTTTACATGCCATAAACGAATGACTTTATCCCTACCACCCGTTAATAAAAGGTCACTCGCTTTTGTATTCTTCCAATCAAGACTAATAACCACTTCGGGAAAGTATATACTAGCTACGCAGTCACCAGATGTCGTAGACCACAGCCGCACCGTACTGTCATCACTGCCTGATGCCAGTTGGGTGCCATCAGGTGAGAATGTCACACTTCTGACCCAATCAGTGTGTCCTAGAATGCGTGGATTCAGATCTAAATTTTCGAGAGACCACAGCCGCACCGTATTGTCACCGCTGCCCGATGCCAGTTGGGTGCCATCAGGTGAGAATGTCACACTCAAAACGGTACCAGTATGTCCTTTTAGAATGCGTATATTCAGATCTAACTTCTCGAGAGACCACAGCCGCACTGTCTCGTCTTCGCTGCCCGATGCCAGTTGGGTACCATTAGGTGAGAAGGTCACACTTGTGACCCAATCAGTATGTCCCTCTAGAATACGTGGATTCAGATCTAAATTCTCGAGAGACCATAGCCGCACCGTCTCGTCACTGCTGCCTGATGCCAATTGTGTGCCATCAGGTGAGAAGATCACACTATTAACATAACTAGTATGTCCTTTTAGAGCGCGCGGATTCGGATTTAAATTCTCGAGTGACCACAGCCGCACCGTATTATCCCAGCTTCCTGATGCCAGTTGGGTACCATCAGGTGAGAAGGCCACACTTTTAACACTATAAGTATGTCCTTCTAGAATGCGTGGATTCAGATCTAAATTCATGAGTGACCACAGCCGCACCGTGTTGTCATAGCTGCCCGATGCCAGTTGGGAGCCATCAGGTGAGAAAGTCACACTATTAATAACATCAGTATGTCCTTCTAGAATGCGTAGATTCGAATCTAAATTCTCGAGTGACCACAGCCGCACCGTCTCGTCTTCGCTGCTTGATGCCAGTTGGGAGCCATCAGGTGAGAAGGTCACACTATTAACAACTTTAGTATATCCTTTTAGAATGCGTGGATTCAGATCTAAATTCTTGAGGGACCATAGCCGCACCGTTTTGTCATCGCTGCCCGATGCCAGTTGAGTGCCATCAGGTGAGAAGGTCACACTTAAAACGGCACCGGTATGTCCTTCTAGAGTGCGTGGATTCAGATCTAAATTCTCGAGTGACCACAGTCGCACCATGTTGTCATAGCTGCCCGATGCTAGTTGGGTGCCATCAGGTGAGAAGGTCACACTATTAACAGCATCAGTATGTCCTATAATGCGTGGATTCAGATCTAAATTCTCGAGTGACCACAGCCGCACCGTCTCGTCTTCGCTGCCCGATGCCAGTTGGGTGCCATCAGGTGAGAAGATTACACTATTAACAACATCAGTATGTCCTTCTAGAATGCGTGGATTCAGATCTAAATTCTCGAGAGACCATAGCCGCACCGTCTCGTCACTGCTGCCCGATGCCAGTTGGATGCTATCAGGTGAGAAGGTCACACTCAAAACGGTACCAGTATGTCCTTCTAGAGTGCGTGAATTCAGATCTAAATTCTCGAGTGACCACAGACGCACAGTATTGTCTGAGCTGCTCGATGCCAGTTGGGTGCCATCAGGTGAGAAGGCCACACTCCAAACGCTACTAGTATGTCCTTTAAAAGTATGTATCTTTTCTAACGTTTCGACATTATAAAGGTAAATTTTCTTTCCACTGGCAATGGCAAGAGAACGTCCGTCTGGATAATAACAGCAGCAATAACACTCGTTTTTAAGATCTAAAAAAGGAAATTCACCGAATTGCACGCCTGTCATATTAGCTTCACTAAAATCTGCATATTGTAACCATGCCCCCTTCAAATTAACATTAATTAAACTTGCTTCTTTAAATTGTGTACAATGAAGCAAACCATAACTTAAGTCCGCACCGGCGATATGAACGCCATTTAAATTCTTGCCACTAAATGACATTCCAGCTTTATTTAAAATTGTGATTGCATTTGCTGCGGCGATTTCGAAATTGGTGTCTTCTTTCGATTTTTCAATAAAGTTGAAGAGATTCTCCTTGAATTTATTAGTCTGTTGTGCATCTTTTGAGCTTACACCCTGAACCACATACTCGATTAGAAAACGAACGATTCCGTGATCATTTAGTATCAAATTTTTTTCAAATGGTGTGGAGCTAGCTTCTTTGCAAATCGACTCATGGATTGCTCGGGCAACAAAATATTCGAATAAAGATTTGTGGATAAATTGATATCTTTTTCCATTGAGACTTAAAGGAGAATTGTAACGTAAAAGTCGTTTCTCCGGATCTCTATATCCAAAGAATTCGGAACGCCAGCTTTTGTCATCTGCGTCTGAATACACTACTACTATTTCATTGGCCATAAACATCTCAACGGCCAATTCTTTGTTAAACCGCATACAATGTTGTGTAAAATCATTTTTATCCAATTTTCTAAAGGCTTCTTTTTCTTTTTCTTCTAACTGAATGCGATATAAACGATCCTGGAATCGCTCAAACCATTTATCCACAAACTCATTATATAATGTTAGGCGTGTAATAGTTTCTATTAAGTTCTCATTCTTTTTCTGATCTAAGACTGGCATGAGTTGCGTAGCAATCTTTAAAATAAACGGGTTTCCTAATAACTTATCTGAATTAGGAATGCTCTTTAAAACGGTTCCATATTTTTGTATCTTTAGAGCGGCATCTTGTTTTTCGAAATCCTTGTGTTTTTTGACGTATTTTCGGATATATTCTTGAATTTCCTCTTTAGAAAAAGGTGCTAGCCATATTTCCTGAAAAAGGTTAGGGTTGCGATTAGGCATAAACTTTAGTTGATACTTCGTACTTAAATACTCCGGTCGACAACTAATAATAACTTTGGCATCCCACTGACTGAGTTTATTTTTATCATAAAAATTTGATTTTTGATCTTTGATATCATCATATGCATCCAAGATAAATATAAACTTATAGCGTTTTTTCAAGTTTTCGATAATTTTCTCAGAAAATCCTATCTCTTTTAAATATTTTTGAATTATTTTCTCATTAGGATTGTCTATAGTTGGAAGCGAAATAAACAACGGGGTGGGCTTACTATCTATCCCGTCTTTTGATGAATAATCCTTCCAGAGACATCGAGCGAGGTGACGGTTAAAAGTGGACTTTCCAGCACCAGCTTCACCTAGAAGCAGCAGAACCTTTTTTTCTGAATCCAAGAAAGTGTCAACTTCTGTCTTTAAGTCAAAATAGTTCGTGGTATTTGGGGCCCACATTCCCTTTGGTGGAACATACAATCCAAATACATCTTTAATCTCTTCGTCTTGTTCAAGCTCACTTAAATATTCCTCTTTTATTTTTGCCAGTGGTTCTGAGAGATTCGAAGTTAAATTTTGTGATAATTTAAAACGGGCCTCGGATAATAATCTGGAATTAACTTCAGGCTGCTTTGCAGAAATAATTATAGGTGGCACGTATATTGAAGAATTATATGCATCCTTACGAGGAGTTACTTTAACTATCGCCTTGACGCAATTTTTTAAAACCTCATTGTCTTGGCTCTCTAACTGTCGCAAGATTGTTGATACCCATTCTTTAACTTCTGGATGTTGTCCCCACTGGTTTTCGTTTTGAAAAAGATCACCTAAAAACCTAACCGCACCTTCCTGTATCTTTAAATCCCATTGTGTACAGGCAATCTGTCCTAAGCGTTGGCACAGACCTATTAAAAACCATTTGTTCTTATTATAAGGACTTTGACGAACAAACTGCTCGAGTTTTACTAAATTATTCTCTTGAATGAAAATATCTACGAATCGTAGAGGTAAATACCACTGTCTTGTCCGTTCAAATTCTATTCCTTGACGAATATCTTCTACCCCTTCTCTTAATGTTTTAACTGTCTCAACTGATTCTCGAATGTTACTTGCAATCTTATCAAAACCTTCAAATGCTTCAGTGAATTCTTTAAAAGTATCTAGCAATTCACTTGAGTCTAAACTTCTAACCGCATTAACTAAATTAATAGTTCCACTAGCAATTTTAAAAGTTCGACGCATAACTTCTTGCCATAATTTTTCATCACTTGGGATGTACAACAATGCCTGGCAAGCGTAGCGAGCATGGTAAGCTAATACTGGATTATCTGTTAGCTCTTTAAGCTGTTGATATAATGGCGCATGCAGCTTCTCACGATCGATTCCTTTAACTCCTATCCGCACCATGACATCCAATAACGGACAAATTGTTTGTAATAATTCGCAGAGTTTGACCTCATTATCTTGTTTGTACAGTTCTGTTAGATGTTCATGCAATA